CATCCATCCATCCATCCATCCATCCATCCATCCCTTCCCCTCCTCCTCCTGCTAATCCTTCCCCTACCCTACCCTCCACTTCACTCCTCTCCTCTTCTTCAGTGCTGGAAAATTAGCATATAATTTTAACACTCAGGGCCACTGAGAACATTTTTGGGCCCTGGTGAAAATCCCCCTCCTCTCCTAGAGTTTCCAGGTTATTCCAGTAACAATAAGGGAATCCCTCTCTCTTACCAGTCCAGCTCCAGAGTGGCCAGAACACACACACACACACCTCAGATTTGGTGATAAAGAGGGCCCCTCATGAGATTACAGCGATCCCTCCACATTCACTGGGGTTAGGGATGAAGGACCCCCGTGAATGTGGAAAAACAGCAAATAAAATACCACTATTCTTTTTACCTTACAGAACACCTCTTTAGGAATCTCCAGATCCTCCAGTGCAACTCTGTGGCTAATATCTGCCAGAGGTTGATCACCGAATCATGCTGGAGGTTGTACATATTCCTAGAGAAGTGTTTTCTCTAGGAACTTCTAGGTTCTCCAGCGCAACTCTATGGTCAACTTCTGCAGAGTTGCGCTGGAGGACCTAGAGATTCCTAGAGAGAACATAGTAACCAAAACCTCAAATAATCAAATCCACAAAAGTCAAAGCTGCAATGTGGAGGGCCAACTGTGTATACTTTGTGGGAGCCTGGAAATCTTGTGAGAAGGCCTCCTTTCTCAAGACTTGAGCTGAGCTTTCGATAAGCCTGCCTGGGGTGCTGCCTTCCTGTGCTTGGAAAGCTCAGGCAGTAGGAAGAGGGAGCACCAGTTGCATTTGTAAAAGATAGGTCCATCACCTACATCATTTGCCATGGAATTTGAAGCCATTTCACTGTATTCCAAAAGCTCAGTGGTCAGTCTGTTGTGAGTGTGGCTGGGTCCAATCTTCCTGTTCTCAAAATATATTAGATTTTGGCTGCCTGTCCCCAAAGATAAAAACATAGACAACAAAACTGGGCCTCTTCATTTGACTTGACTTTTGTTGTTACCTGTTGGCAGTACCAGCATTGCTATGAACTTCGGTAGGTGTTCCTCATGACTGCCATTTTATTTACCCAGGCCTCATTCACGCTCACATTTTTGCATTGAGGAGATCCAGGTCTCCTTGGTGATGCCGTACAGAATCAATCAGGGTCATAGTTCCTACTATGTTTACGCTGATCAAATTGCTCCTTGCTGTTCACACTGGAGGAGGAGGGACTTGGCGGTGGCGGTGGCAAGGGGAAGTGAGGGAAAGGAGGAAGGAAGAAGGAGGAAGAGGAGGGAAGTGGTAGTGGCAGTGAGGTGGGTGAGGAGGAAGGAGGAAGAGTAGGGAAGCTGCAGTGATGGCAGCAGTGAGGAAACAAGGAAGAGGAGGAAGGAGGAAGAGGAGGCAAGTGGTAGTGGTGGTAATGAGTTAGGTGGGGAAGAGGAGGAAGGAGGAAGAGGAGGAAGGGGAGGGAAGTAACAGTGGCAGTAGTGAGTGGGGTGAGGAAGAGGAGGAAGGAGGAAGAGGGGGAAGGAGGGATGATGCTGGAGGAAGGAGCACAGGGAGAGGAAGAGGAGGGGGAGGGAGGAGGGAGGGAGCAGGATGTGGCGGCATAGATCTGGATTAGTAGTTCCAAAGATCCGGATCCTTGCAGCACCGCAAAAAAACCCAACAAAAAACAAAAAACAAAACAAAACAAAACAAAAACTCATTATTTGACCAGGTGTCAAATGCACTGGGTTAAATGGGTTTTTGGATTCCCCCCCCCCAAAAAAAATGCACTGAGTGCAGTCGGGGCAAATATGAACATCTATGAAATAACCCAGGTCCCACACCAGGTTATTTCATAGTGTGAATGGGGCTCCAGAATACCAGAGAGAGGAGCTGAGATCCTGCCTTGGAGGCTACAAGGCACAACTTTACAATGATGAAGCTACATCACTGGCACAATTCACAACTCTGCTAATGAATTGTGATGATGCACAACAGGGCCCTGCTAAAGATGCCCCAATGTGCAGCGGGGGCTGCCATTGTGCAACCGGATATATTGTGCATTGAGCTATGTTGAGCATTGGAGCACATGGTGGATTTGGGCTATTGTACACATGGACACATTGTACATCAGGAACAATGTAATGTGACACATTGTTTATTGGTCCCATTGTGCAACAGGACCACAATGGCCACACTGCTAGTTCAATTTATAAAATAGTCTCAATGGTGTAGTTATGAATCTGCTCCTCAATAGAGAATACAAACATTGAGTAATGGCACAATTCAACTCTATTGTTGTTGTGTGCCTCCAAGTCATTTTTGACTTATGGAGACCTTAAGGTGAACTTATTACAGATATTTTTTTTGGAAAGTTTCTTCAGAGCAGGGTTGCCATTGCTATCCTCTGAGGCTGAGAGACTGTGACTCACCTAAGATCACTCAGTGGGTTTTTATGCTGGAGCTGGGATTTGAACCCTGGTCTCCAGAGTTGTAGTCCAACACTCAAACCATTATA